TCAGCGTGTCGTCCAGTCGTCCAGCATGCCCATGAATGTTACACGAGAGAAACGCGAGAGTTACAAATACCATCGTTTTGTATCATTTCGTGATCTAGCACGTGTTACTTTTATTTTGAATTTCAGATTGTCAATTTGAAATGGTAAATCTCTAGATTGCGATTGTGACGTGTATTATAAAATCAGAAAATTTGTCGTACGTGCAATCAACCACCGTCAGTCGATTGCGCATCTTAATCCACCACGAAACATCATCTGCACGTGCCTGGAAAACGTGTCTTCACAGATGCACGTTTAAGATATGAAAAATAGTAGTTACCAAATTACAACGTTTCACTGGCTGTTGTATAATGTCGCTTCCTACATAATCATCATAGAAGATCTGACCGAAGTGATTACAGCGAAACAAATTATTAGCAATCAACGTCCGGAACTCAAAAAATCCAGGGTATAACGAATGGGAAAGATTAGCGCGCGACACTAAGCACCTGCGAGGAAAGCGTTAAACAACACGTGAAGGTCCGTCAATAAGTATTTACGAGACGGCAATAAAGTCGCTTCCTTTAATAACGCGTATAAACAGGCTCTAATTATCGTAAAGTCCACTTTAATGGCGCCGTTTTAGAGGCGCACCCGCAATCTAATTACTTATTCGCGTTAATCATTATCTTGTTTCTATGATCGATGATGTGAATGTCGAGGCAAGCATTCTCGCGTTAAAACCGAATTGAAAAGTTGCACCTTTAGTCCTCGCAGATTAATGTTTTCGCACAGCGCGCAATTCTTCAATTCTTCCCTCTCCTCTTTCGAATGCCAACTGACTCTTTTCGGCTTGCTTTTCGGGTTTGCACCGTGTCTTCCTTGTGTTTCATCCCGATGTTTCGTGAACATTTCAGTTCACTTCTTCAGGGCAATCTGAAACTTTCAAGTTGCCCTGAAAAATCCTGAAAGTTTCAGGTGTGCGGGTGTACAAGGTAGACGCGATTCAAACTCGGAAAACAAGCAAAACATTAGACAACACCGCGAAAGTTTAAAATACCATGCCAGCTAATTGGAAGTCCCGAGACAAGAGATGTAACGATCGTCGCGCACGACGAAGCGATGTCACAGGTCGCCGGCGGGTTTATCGTCTCTCATGAGGGTTTATCGTTCTAATGATCACGCGACCTTTTTTTACGCCGACGCGAGGCGTGCGTGATGATAAAGGAGTTGTCTCCGGTTGTGTCGCAAATGGTGTCGCCAGAACAATGTTGAGAGTGCGGCGACACCGCGCGCGCGAGGAAGCGCAGTTCCCGTCGCGGTGTCATCCCCATTGTCGGCGGATTACGGTGTCGTTGAAAAATAGGTCCATCTAGCTGGCTGAATTGACGCTTCATAATGAGCGACATGTGCATCTTCGTCTCGGAGAAAAAAAGGAGAGAGTGAAACTAATATGCTTCTCCTTAACAAAAATAGTTGAATGAACCGATTTCTAGTGACATATGAACAATTCAGAATAATGCTAATTATTCAGAATTCAAACTTTCTGATACCAAATAGATTCTATTCAAGTCAGCCGGATAATTCGATAATTTAGACTAAATTCTTCAACTGGAATTTCTGATTATTCATATTTCACTAGAAATTGGTCAATCCAACCAGATCTTTTTTCCCATGTATTATTTAATATCTTTCAAACTTGAAACTTAACATTTCAAGTGATTGTGCTCGGATAGAGATGACGTAACTTTTAAAGTGGTGCAAATTTTTCGGATACGTCAAACGTCGTAAGAGACATTGTTGAAAGCGCCAGTCGAGCAGGCTGCTATTATTACTTCAGAACATTACGCATGAGACACGCAGTCCGCACGTGTCTTTCGTCACCCGGACTTGATTGTTCTATTATGCGTAGAGCACAGCTCGCGGTTCGTCGTTAGAAAGTAAAGTATACTCGCGCGGGCGAATGAACGCGTTTAAGGAAGACCGATTGCCGTGTCATCGTGCAACGTTCCCTCGCTGGATTCAATGCGGAGCGCATCCGCGATAATAAATGTCGCAAATAAAGCCAAAAGTGAATGCACAGGCTATATTAGCGGCTAATTAATTGACATCGTTATGCTCGATCCGACTCGACAGTACCGAGACGCGCGGTATGGGAATGAATTTTATATTCTATCGACACCGAAAGTCCCTCTTGCGTTCTCCTCTCGCGCGAATGCTTTGATGTCAATCGCTTTCGGCTATTCCCCCGCGCGCAATTTCACGTATTTCACAGTCTTGCGAAATGATCCGCTTTACGCTCGATAAACGTGAGGATATGCATGAGCCTTATCTCGCTTAATCATCGCGTCGTGTTTCCCCCGCCAGGCAAAAGACTATTAATATTTATTTGTTTGGATCAGCATACACACGTGTAAAACACAGTCGCATAGAAAGAGCAATGGAAACATTATATGGCGCGAATGATTTATTGATATGTCATATTATTATCATACAAATTATAGTCCGTGTCACGCGCGAAATGAATGAACGCTGTTAATTTCACGAGATAAACCCTCAACAATGCCACCATGGAGAAAACACTTAAAATTCGCTCTTTTTTTCTGCGCACGCCGAGCGTACGTCATATCTCACGATCTGCGAAAGGTGACCTCGCGGTACCCGGGCCACGACACGCAGCGCGATAAATTACGCGAATCTCGCGAAATCGCGCCAACAAATTGCCGGTTGGTGGCTCATCACATTGCGGCGAGCAGTAATTGGCGCGATAAAATACCGCCGACAGACCGCGATTTAACGAGTCCATTCGGCGGCGAATTTTCCCCCCGTCGATCAGGAAATCAAGTCGCGAATCACGCGAGTCCATAAGTCGCGCGCGCGTCGAAAAAAGAAGGAGAAAAAGAAAAAAAAATAAATAAAGAAACAGCATCACGACACGGCGGTCACCGAGCGGTCAGCTCGCGGCGCAGCTAATCAGAGATACGTGACGAGCGATTTTCTTGTCGCAGCTGCTCGCTGGTCGCGGCTCTTATTAACTAGACACATTACGTAAACATCATATATCCCATTAAAAACGATTACATTGATATAATTCGCTTTATAACGCCAACTGTCCCGCCGCGTGCCGCTCGCTCTAGATTCGTGACGATCGAACGATAAAAGAAATAGAAAAACAGACGGCGAATGTTGTCGGAAGCGTTGTCGATCGAATATCCGCGTGTGCGTGTGTGCGCGCGTACTTAGCGTGTCTCAAACGCCGGTTGACAAGCGGAGTCGAGGGAACGAGTGCGCGCCGGGGTTTTAGCTTTATACACACGCACCGGCGGCGCAAGGATCTCTGGAGACGCACTAAACCCTCCGCGGTAAGCAAGCGTCCGCGACTTGTCATCGACGTAATTGACTTTCTCTCTCCCGTGCCGAGAGGATGAAAGAAACCCGGCAAGATCGCCGGCCTGGCCGTCGCTGAGCTTCAAACTAATTAAGGAAGTCCGATGTCCGCGGGCTAATTAATAACGGCCTCGGAACAACGCGCAATTATCTCTTACCTTCTAGCCCTCCTCCCGCCCCTCTTCCCGCCGCCGTAACAACGCTCACCGCGCAGCGTGCTTTTGAGCGGCTCTTCGGAACGCGACCGACAATTTGCGAACGACAAGTGGGTGTAATTCAACGTTTAAACGACCGCCCGTAAAAAGGCGACGGATACGATCGAATTTGTCTCGAGGATAACAAGGGAGTCTCACCGACGACGTGTGTCGTTAATTCTGACTCGCATTCCGCGAGTAAAGTGAACATGTCTTTTCAGCGGACTGACGCACGCAGAAAGAGGAACATTCTTGTTTCGGAAAATAACTTTGTTTTCCACACATAAATTTCAAAATGAAACTGCTTGTTTAAAAGTAATTTTCATAAATGAAATATTGGATTCAGGATATGATGTTTTTAAATGTCGAAAAATGTCGAAATATATCATCACAAAATATATTGTATTTCTTATATTGTCTTTCTATGAAACTATTGTAATATTTAAATAAAACTACAATGTTGATTCAAGACTTTAAAATTCTTCTAACGAAACAATATATCGTTGTTTATATATGAAATAATGATTGTTTATTTGAGTATATTAGTATATTAATCCTTTAGAACGTAAAGGTTTCCCCATGAAATCACCTATTAGAACTAAATCATAGTTTCAGGCTATAGTGATCTCGCAATGAAAGCACCGCTTAGCCTGTACATAGTGATGCACACTATCGATTTTTTGTGTTACTCGTAATATTCACTTCAGTTTGCGCGCATTTTGAGCAAAAATAGGAAAATAGTAAAGATTAATTTCAAAAGTAATGATTTCTTGGATTGTTATTCTAAACATGTGACATGAATATTTTATTAGCATCCGAATTTTTAAGATTCTATACTTCAAAGAGTTAAGAGGATACTAATTTTTTTCCGTTCAAGAACGTGTTATTTTGCGAACATTGCTCAGTGCGCGGCATGAAAGTAACTCGCGAGCGCCGAATCGTAATTCAGGTATTGTCGCGGTGAGCCGACTTATCCGAAGGAAAGGGAAGTTAATCGCACGAAATTCTGGCTCGGTTCTCTCGATTCGACAATAAATACCGGTATAAATTGCTGGCTTGCGCCGTATCAGCGCGCTCTCAAGGTGCTCGACGGAGATTCCTTGAAAAATCGCGATTCAGCAACGCGCATTCGCAAAGCGAATGATGCATGCGACCGGTTCGATGAGCTACACGCAACGGCCAAGGGTGGTCATTAATGCACTGCGTCGTATCTCGGCCCGTCGTCCCGATATCGACTATCGGGGATTCGCTTCATCGCGGGGTTCTTTTCCCGGATGCGTGCTCCACGGCGAAAAATATCCCCGCGCTCTTTGCCCACGGTGCCGTAATTCGCTCGTAAATACCGGTGCTCGCGATTTAAGCGCCCTGCGTACGTGTCGTTTGCACGCCTACCAGCGCGCGAGGCAACCTTTCTCACGAGCGATCCGTTCTTTGTTTCAGATGAGACGCCGGTTCCCGAGGACGCGGTCGAACACGAGGTAAGAAAAATCTCCGAGGAATAATCAGTGGAACAGAGAAGGAGAGAGAAGCTCCGCGGTCGCCTCACCGTGACACAGCCCGAATGCCTGAAGCCTGATTCAAATCGGAAATCGCGACGCACACGTGAGGTCGAGCCGCTTAGTTTCTCGTGCGCCAAGCGCAAGGACAGTTCGGTTTGAAGGAGATTTTTTGGCGCCCAGAAAAACTGAAGTAGATCGAAACGGATCCCGCATAAGATTACGAATTAGCAGACTTCTTAATATGTTAGATCAATCAAAAAATTCGATTTTGTTATCTGTCTTCTTCAGCTACAGAGAAACCCGGTCACTTTCTACGGTATAAAAGTGCTGCGAAAACATTGATAAAGTCTCGCTTCTTAACTACGTGTCACTAAAAAACTTGAAAATTGCAGACGCCTGAAGGGTGCAAATGTATCTTCGCATGCTCCCTGCGGCTACGAGCGTCCGTTCATTCTTGATCGCCGCGCGCGTAACTTGTAATCCTACTCGCCGATAAGCGATAACTGCACTTATTGTCATAATAAATGCAAATAGAGTTTCTTGCTCCGACGTCCCCAGCCGACACAGCCACCGCGTCGTGTCCTGTTACACTCATGGACGACGCGTAATAAATCAGGTGTGCGATTATCCTAACTAGAGATCGTGTATTGACAGCACGTTGTAAATCACGCGCGGGACAGCGCAAACGAGCAATCGTCAATAATAAACCATAATATCATAATGACGTGCTAATCGACGGTGACGCGTGGAGAAAAGAATCGGGCAGACCCTGCGCGCTCTTAAATATACCTGAAATATTTGTGAAATAATAGAAAAGATAATTGATGACGGCGATCCCGGCGCGTCAACCGCGGCGTAACTTTCTCGAGTATTAATTTCCCCTGCATTACTTCGGGCCGTTTTAACGAGAGGAAAATGTGACAGAGCGTAACAGATGATTAAAACAGGGATTATAAAATTACAAGCTTGTATTTCACGATCGGCCGGCCGACTGAACAACGTCGACTTCGCCCCGGGATCTCTGCAGCGCCGTACTTTCGCGCGTCACAACACATGTATATGTGTACTACATACGTACATCCGCGTGCTTCGGCAATAAAGCTCACAGGTTTCCGCGAGCGCCGCGATGATTCGCGATGCCCTCCGCAAACGACCGATCATCCATCGTGTGGCCCGCGGCTGCTCCGGCCGCTGATTGCACCTAATTCACGTATAATTCATGCCGACCGACTAGCAGATGAGGCGATGTGGCTAATTGGATGGCGCATACACACCGACGTCCGACTTAATATAATAATCTTCAGGTAATACCTTCGCGTGCGCGCTCGCCTCTCCTACTCCATGCGCGCAGTTTGCATCCGAAGTGGCGAGAAGCCACTTATCGCGTAATAATAGTGTTCTCTTTCTCTAGATCCTTCCCCCTCTCTTTGTCAATTCCGATTATTGCGGAGGATATCGAGCTACTCATGTATCGTAGCTCAAATCCCGCTCGAGCATTAGATAGAAAAGAGAGGGAATAAGTGTGAGGCGGGAGATAATAGGTTTGCCAGATCAAGCAGGCAGCTGCAGTTTAGTTTTTTTTTTTTTACAGTCAAAAGTGTGCTGTTTGATCGGTAACGCTGTGTAATTCCTGAATTCACAAGCACCTCGCACGCGGCGGTATCTATCAGGTGCGCGAGCCGCGGAACTAATTATATTCCGTAATCGTATAACGATTATAATACATCTCTTCCTCTTTCTCCCTACGTTCTCTCTCGCTTTCTTGTTATCGCCGGATCGCTGGCATTACCGTACACTTGTCTCGAGTGCGCTTGGTACTTGTCCACTTCTTCAACGGCGTTACCCAACGTAATGTGATAGAATCACGATTGATATTATATAGTTTTTTGTCACGCGCGCGTCGAAATACATGCCGACGCTCCTATTTCACGCGGCATGCAGAAATCACAGAGATGCAGAGATCGTCGCGATGTACGCTGCTGTAATGTAACGTTTCAGCTCGTAAACTGCCGCGCGGAAACGCGTTCGATCGTGTCGCGTAATCGCAGCCTGTCCTTTTCCTTCTCACGTGTCCGACTCTTTTTTAATTACACGGCAGATCAATGCTCTCACTACTTCCTGTTGGCCAAGCGTCTTCGCATTTATACAGGGTATCTTACAATTCATGACACTCCTGTGTAAAAGAACAATGCTGGAAAAGGGCCAAAATTTGCCCATAAGAGAAATATACGAAATCAATAAAAAAATCAATAAAATTAATAAAATTATGAATTTAGACACCCTGTACATTTTGCCAATATATGTTTTTCCGTGCGACGTAATTCGAAAGCTTTGATACCGTCATCGTTACAAGCGTCGCAATGAGTGAATTATACCGCGCACTGTAGCGAGCAATTAATTTCCACTAATGATCGCAATATTGCCGTTATTGCCGATATCGCGAGTTTAATTATTATTGCGTTACGTGCCAATAAAGATTAATGAACACTCCAATTCGAGCTTGAAATTTAATCGCGTGTGATGCGTGATGTCGCAAAGGTAGCGTTTCAATTTGTCTCGCTCGGTAAGGACGATAGCCGGTCGCGTTTAATTAACACTAGTCCGAAGCGGCCGGATAATTGCACACGTACACGCATATACCGGCGTGATTAACTACGTCGCATTATTTCGTTTGCCGATACGCATCGAAACGAAATCCTCGCGCACGGGATCTCGCTCGGGCTGACGTCTATCGCTCATTTCTCATTTGCGGGCCACGATGAGGCATCCATCATGCTCATTCGCCGGTGCGTATAGAATTTATTGTCTACACGCTCGCGTAACATTCGGCACGGCCGTCGGCCCCCGACCACGATCCTCGTCGTTTGTCGGCAAATTTTTCGCGCTACGCTGATTTATAACCGTCTCGTTGCAAAATCTTGCGCGCTCGTTCCTTCTGGTCGTATCGTGCAATGTGCAACGCGAACAATGTATCCATTGTTATTGAACGGCCAAGAATGATCGTTTGTCGCCATTGAATTAAAATTTTTGCCGACAATCATTTTCATTACACGCATAGTAGTACATTGCGAATCGATGGATGCGTGAAGGCGAACATCGCGTTTGCGTCACAACAAAATTCCGTCGCGAACTTAACGTCAAATCTGCACAGTCGACTGATTAAAGCTGACAACACTTCTCCTCATTGAGTTTTACAACGCACTCCGTATCGCCAGTTGGAAAATATATCTCCTGAAAATTACTAAAAAATCAAATTCCTATTGGATACAAGATGCGTGATGAAACTCATAGAGGGAAAGTGTTGTTTTAATCAGCCGATTGAACGAAAAATAACAACAAATTAAAAGTTATTTATTCGGTAGGTAATAACATATATAACTAACATATTAAATTATTAACATATTAAACTATTAACGTATTTCCTTAAAATTAGATTCATTTGATGCTTTCATGAAAACCAACGGTTTTCTATCACTGCGACAAAGCAGCAACGCCGCCCGCGCGAGAACGGGAGCGAGATACGTCGCGCTGCTGACGTCGTGCACAGGCAAATATTACAGTTTACTACACTTACAGTCACACCGCACGGCCTGACATATTCGTAACAATGCTAGGCGTGTCGCCGGTGTGTTGCAACCGATTTCAACGGCCATCCATGCGCTTCGTTCGTTCATACGTATTGCCGACGCGTGTGTGCATGCACGTCGTCCATGCGAGCCGCGACGTGGTAGATGTGGACGGTATACTACAGGTAACGTGCAGATCGTGTATGACATACCGATAATAACTGGTCTCGCAGGCGGTCGCCGGCACGAAGATGCCTTAAATGTCAAGGCGAGGACACGGTGGGGTTGCTCGCGAGCAAGCGAGCGAGCGAGCGAGCGAGCGAGCGAGTGCACGGTTGATGCACTCCGCGAAAGGAACTGTTGCACCGCACACTCATCGAACCCTCCCCTCCTACTTAGGCTTGAATAATCACTTCTAATCGACGCGGCCGCTACATTGTGGATACTGTAGAGTGATTCCGCGAAGAAGGTTGTAGAAAGTGTTCCGGCGGCGCGCGACGTGCTCCTTTAGGAATAATTTCCCGCGAACGCGATCGGGAAAACGACACAGTCGAGAATTACAAAGAAAGCGTGTGCTGATTTTCCAAGATTCTTGTTTAGGTTCCGCTAACGCGTAATCGGCAATTATCACGTAACATTGAATGGGTTCGAAAGTATCATTCGTAGAAATGGCGCTTTAAAACAATATGAGAGAGCCCGTAAAGGGTTATATAACGCCAGCTGGAGGGCGAGAGGGGCTTAATTGCCCGTCATATTCGTATTACGAGCGATCATTGATGGTCATTTTGGCGGTTCGCAATCGATTTCCTAGTGTTAAAGCTCAACTCGTTACACGCGCGATTCCCCGGCGCGGTATTACGCCGTGTACGAGTATCCGCGATGAAAGTCCGTGGCATCCTGGACCCAAGTGGAGTTTAGCGGAGCACGTTTGAGCGACGCGACTCGTAAAACACTTTTCTATCCGCGCGCTGTTCCGATCGTATAGAGACTTTCTCCCGCTCGCATCGGCGTTTATTGTTCGAGAGTCAGGCCCGACGTCAGCTTCCCCAGTATAATTGCGGAGAAACTGTTCCTCTCTGTTGCAGGACTCTGTGGCGTCGGCGTCGGAGGTAGACGAAGAGTACGACGACTCCGACATGTACATGGAGCCGGATGAAGCCGAGACGACCCTGCAGCCGGATCGCGACGCAGAGGCGAGCGCGAAAAGGGACGACGAGGACCGCGAGGAGACGTCCACTGCCGCTTCCGCGGCTGCAAACAGCGAGAAACTGGCAGCTACCACGGACCAAGAGGCGAAAAATACCCAAGATACAGCGAGTCTCGTCGACGCGGCGGAAGGAAGTCTAGTGACCGAGAGCCAGAACTTCTTCCCGTCGTTCGCGGAGCTGTTCGCGAACCACCGACTGCCGTTCACTGAGCAGCAGCAGCAACGGTACCGCCCCAACAGGTTCCTCGGTTACTTCCAACGCGATCGCAACTACCAGGCAACCGCGGCTACCACCAAGGACCAGCACTCGCTGTTGGGTTCCGGTAACTTCGGGGTGATTCGCGGCGGTACTTACTACCCGGAGGACAAAGAGAACGACGAGTACTCGGTGGACGAGAGCCTGTACAATCCGTATTACCACAGTCGTGGACGTGCACAGTACTACAGGAACCCGAAACCGCAGCCCGTCCGCGGCGGTGATTTCTTCGCGAACTTCCGCGACTTCGCCGACATCACCGCGCCGCCCAAGTCCAGCTTCTCACATCTGTCCGTGGTGTACGCCAACAAGAACGGCAGCACCACTACTGGACGCGTCACAGAACCCCGGAACATCATCGAGACTCTAAGGATGTTGGAGGAGGAGGAGGAGGAGCAATCCAACGCGAATGAAGAAGTACTCACCACGGAGGAGACACCGAGGAAGAAGCAGAGCAAGGGTAAGCAGAAGCTCATGAAGATGAAGCAATACGAGGAGGACAAGGCCAGGAGATCCCGCATGTCCGTCGAGCCGTTGCTCGCCCTCAGCTGAGGAACGTGGACGAACGTCGGAAGTGAAGTGCATGTTAAGACGCGGACGCAAACCTCGGGATTTCTCCGAAACGCGGAATCTGGCCTCGAGATCGGAACCAAAGTCTGAAAAGCGTCGTCGCACGATCATATTGGTGGAGGATGTGCTGAAAATGCGCGACAGCGACTGAGGGGCAGGAGAAAGAGGAGGAGGAGGGAGACATCTTCGTGTATTCGCGAACGGAATCGAGAACGCGCGTATGAACTCTTTTCAGTAAGCACACACATAATCCGAAGAACTAGCGACTCGGAAACTACTCGGGTACCCTGGAATTCACTTTAACGCGGTGACGTCGCCAATTTAGACAGTATTCAATTCCTAGCATTGGAATCCGACGATCATATGAGTGAGAAAGCTTTTCATATGAGTGAAAGTTATTCACACTACTTTTCTAGGGCCTATTTAATAATCGTTACTAGAAACTCGCGTGAGACACTCAGATTTGAATTTAGAGTTAGATATGCGTTTTTCAGTCGAACCATGCAATTACAAACATAACGTGAATATCGCATGATTGAAGTGAAAAACTTTGATGTAACTTGAAACTCAGATCTTTGTACCTCATATGAGATAAATTTCAAATAAGGGCTATTGACAAGGACCAAGCTTTAAGTGAAGTACCGCGTGAAGTTTCCGTGTCACTCGCTAAACGAAAATTCAAAACTTTAAAAAAGATCGACTAGTTTTCTCTCTTTTTCTTTCTGCCCCTCCTTCTCTCTCTCTCTCTCTCTCTTTCTCTCTTTCTATTAAGGTCACATGCGCGACGACACGTAAGTTGGAGCATTATAAATATACAAAGCACTGGCGTTCCTATTTATCGGCCAATCATCGTCATGAGATCCGAAAAGAAGCCCTGACGCTTCACCGATTTTCCACGTTAGCCGACACCCCGGCGCGACTTTGACAGATCCCGTGAGATTTCTCTTCTTCCTTCTTCCTTGAGCATACAGCGCGTCGATCAGCACGTTTTTACGCGACTCTGCGTTACGCGTCCCGCCGACTGTCCCGCACGGACACCTTCTGGAGAACCGTTCCCGATTCGGCGAGGTGTTTGCGGGGGCTAACTGGCAACGATTATTCACGGAGACCTTTTACGTTGATTGGATTCGCTCGTACGCGAACGTCACGCTCGAGTAAGCCGCGATTCCGGAATCGGTAAACTCTTACCAGCGACACTCGCGCTCGGCTAAAACGCTAAATTCCATGACAGAGTGCGCGGCACGTGCGCGCGGCCTCGTTATCCTGTAATTATACGAAGCGCGTAAGCACGATCCCTGTTAGGATACCTCGCGGAATACGCACGAGGACTGCCCTTCTCAGTTACAATTTTGTGTTCCTCTTCGTACCAGTCTGGTGAAGGTGGTTTTCTTTCTATTCTGCACGCGGAGAACGTAAAGGTGTCGAGATGACTGAGAGGGACAGACGTGCGGAAAACGGCGAGACCTGCGGAACTTACGGTACTACGTTGTAAATAAATTATATCGATTCGCTTCTTACGTGTTAATTTAGTGTTTTAGTTAAAGCTAGAAAGCAGACGACGTTTGTTTACGATATGTTACATTACGTTGACACGCGTGCTTTTGTGCGCGTCAGCACGCAGAATTCATTTCGCGATCAGAGGAACACTTGGAGCGGAGATCCGCGCAAACTTATCGAGCTACAATAAAGACTGTCAGTTTTCCCTCTTGTACTTTTTCGCTATTAATTATGCGAAGATGCGCCGATTGCTTCTACCCGTGCTTACAGTTTCGACGAGGCCGCCGAGATCGGCCTCGAAATTCACAAGTGTTGCTTAGAGTGTAATAAGGAAATACCCCATCCCCCATCTCTCAATACTCGCGATTATTGTGGAATAAAGAGCACTCGAGGGCGAAGAAGTCGCGCTGGTGCTCTCGCCCAGAATTCCAGCACGACTGCTGCGTCTCCCTGGACAAAATTCGCGGCGGTGGTTGCGCCCCGCGTTATCTAGCGAATAAGAAACGACTCTGAATCGTGACAGGAGGATCGTGGCCGAACCTTCGCCCTAGATCTCGATTCGTTGTTGTTTCGCTTGTTGTTGATTATTTTAACGCAGAACTATATCATTAGGCTTATACACGTCGAACCGTCGGAAAAATGTATGTACATCCCGCGCCCCGTTCATCTCACATTGCGCTTCGAAGGGGCGCGGTGGACAAAAAAATTAAATAAAATATATTTTTCGAAATAATGACAAACCTCTCCCGAATCTAATCTCTCTCTCCTTTCTCTGTCTCTCTCTCTCTCTCTCTCTCTCTCTCTCTCTCTCTCTCTCTCT